TTTTTTTAGCTCTCGCAGATCGGCCAACAGCAAGCCGAATGGCACGTCTGTTGTGCGATGAGGTGACAACTGATCGTTTCAGTCCGGTAGCTTTTCCCGGTGGTACCGAAATGATCCTGAAATACGATGAGCACGTTCTCACCAATACATACAAATTTGGAATCATCTATCAACGATTCGGACAGGTTATAACTTTTCAGCCTCTTACTTTTGATCTTGTAAGCAGTGGCCAAATCGAGGAATCATTATCAGAACAAATGCAATTCAGACTTAAGCAGCGATTAAAATGCGGGAAACAGCGATGCGTTCAAGAACTGAAACATGTACGGCTCGCATTCAAAACATTTTTTCGCTTCTGCTAGTCAGCGAAAATAATAGTAGTTTTATTCTACTAAAAACCTTTGCACTGAGAACAGACTTATGTTATCAATATACTAACACTAAGACCGACGCAAGCAGTTTGGGGATTCCATATTAGTGAAGTTACTGAGATGCTTATTGTAAAGTTACATGCTCATCTTTCGAAGACATTCCACCTGAGCGTCGGGAAGTGACGTTCCCATCGGAGATCGATGAAACGAAGGATGCAGCTATTCCAGGCTCTTCGATCTCGAAACTTTTACCCTCAAATGATTACCATCGTTTGTTCCGTGCGTCTGCTCACTTGTTCGGAGAATGTTGGAGTGGTCATTAGTACGACTGCCATCGACTGAAAATTGAAATGTTTAAAACGAACAAAAACTATTCCCAAATATGGTGTTTGAAAAAATACTGAAAATATTCTTTCCTCATTTCCAAGCAGTAACCCTCTCATTTTCCAAAAAAAAAAAATCCCAGTTTTGTCTCTGCTTTCCGCTGTTAGTAACAAAATTTTCCCGCTACAGACCACAGAAGAAGAGTTGTTTGGAAATGCTACACGATCGGATGCTTTTGATGAATTTTTGAATATTATCGGCGAACGTGTCGAGCTCAGGAATTTCGAGGTAACAACACTCAAATTTACTTAAGCAAACTGTCATTTGTTTGTTTTTTTAATTTCTTTTTTTATATTTCATTTTAGCTACAAGCTTACTTGTAATTCTACCAAAAGTGGTACCAGAAGTTGTACTCTCCAAATAGCTTGATCTGAGCCTTGAAAATAATGAAATCGATAAAACTGTGAGATTACAGCCAAATAGCAACTTGCAGTATTAGGTTCAAATTTCCGTCTTCTTTAATTCACAGAGTGAGCCAAAATGACCATTTCTTGAGTGTGGCTACGATTATCCGGGGTATTTCCCTGGCAGTTGCACTTTGGTATGATAACCAGATCGATGTGAAAAAATGAATAAATCTCTTTTAAGGGTTTAAAAGTTAAATCTCTTTTCTAAGGGTTATCGCGGTGGACTTGACACACAACACGGTCAGACCGGTACGGAATCGGTTTATTGTCAATTTCGACAACGCGAAATTATGTTCCATGTATCCACCATGTTACCGTACACCGCCGGCGATATGCAGCAGCTTCAGCGGAAACGACACATTGGAAACGACATTGTTGCTATTGTTTTCCAGGTAATTTTCAGCTAAATCGATGTTTATTTTTGTTATAATTATGAATTATGCGAATTTTTGACTAAAAACTTCATTCATCTTCTTGTGGTTGATTTCATGTTTTAAGCCTGTCTGGCCCTACTGCATAAATGTCATAGTCGGCTTATGGGTTGACTTTTTCCAGGAAGAGAATACACCTTTTTCTGCCGATATGATTGCCAGTAACTTTTTACATGCATTCATTGTTGTCCAACCGATCGATCCTTGCACTGAAAAAGCTCGTTATCGCGTAAGTTCTCAACTCTAAAGTTGATAGCTGGGCGAAAAAGCCAGTTTACTGTAGTTAATAATAATAACAATAGTAATAGTAATAACGATAATAATAATAACAATAGTGGAAATAGTGATAATAATTATTATAATATGCTTTAATTTGGAGATTTACATAAGACTATTCATTAAAAAAATTACAAAAAAATTGCCTGGTTCATTAGCAAATTTTTTTGCTGTGCTTAAGATTGGGTAAAATTGTTACTTCCATTATTGCCACCCATTCTGATAATGGAGATATTGGTTCAGGAGTTCTAGATTTGAAGTAGGTTTTTTCTGTTGAGAGCCATAGAATCACATTTTACTAATTACAAAGATTTTTGGATTCTACAGATTTCATAGATTCATAGAATTATGATATTTCGTAGATTTTATGCATTCATAGGATCATGAAATTTCATTGGTTTACAAAATCAAATTTTATAGATCACGTAGATTTATGGGATCATGAAATATCATATATTTATAGAATCTTGGGTTTTTATATGGATGCACAGAAGTAAAATTTATAGATTCTGCAGACTTAATACAGATAAAGTATGAAGCCGGATCACATCTACCCGAGATTTTTTGCTTTTTTTTCCCGTCGCTTCTGTTCTTTTTGACCAATGAATTTTTTAGCTTCACCTTAATATTTCAGGTATCAGTAACTGCACGTGATGATGTTCCCTTCTTTGGGCCCACTCTACCAGCTCCATCAATTTTCCGAAAAGGCCAAGAATTCCGTAACTTCTTGCTCACCAAGTTGATTAATGCTGAAAATGCTGCCTATAAGTCAACGAAATTTGCAAAACTTGCTGTTAGTTTTATTTTTTCAAAAGAATTTGCAATTCTAACCCCTTGAATATTAGCTGTTTTTTAAAACTGAGCTGATCTTTGGCTAAATCTTATGTTATCAAGCTATGCAATCGTTCTCCAGTCAAAAAAAGAATTATTTTATGGAGTTTGAATAGTCGAGCTAATTTCTTATTGAGATGGGCGAACAGTAGGGAAAGAGAACAATAAGAATTACTGTGGCTCGACTTGATGGCTTAACATTTCCGTCAAAATGCTTGATAAAATTTCAAAAAAATATTTTGAGAGAATTTAATGATTGTTAGTTGTATTTTTCAGGAGCGCACACGTTATTCATTGTTGGAAGCACTTTATGGTAATTTAAAAGAGCGAGCGCATTTCTACGGTTTACCACTTTTGGAAACAACTGAAAATGCATCACATTCGATGGGAATTTTCCATTCTGTCAAAAAAGCTTTTACTGGGAGGTAAGCTTTTTGTTGCTTTTTCTCTAAAATTGTTGCTTCGTCCCAACAGTCCAAAAGTTTTTCCGGATTTCAGGCAATTTCTGTGTGTTGCATGCTAGCAACTTTGACAAGTAGTGCTACTCCCATATTAAAGATTGACCTTTGACTGGTCCAAAAAGAAAATTTACACTTTTTCGTACGTTTCATACCTTCTGACAGATACTTTTCAAGCCGGATTTGCCTTTAGAATAAAGCCGGATTCGTTTCGATATGCTTTCGTGAAAATTCCACTAGAATTTTTTCATCCCCATGTGATTATCCATGATATTGCTGTTACAGGTCACGATCAGTTTCACAAGATATAACCTCCTCGTCGGCAGCACACTGCACAGGAACTGTTATAAATAGCCCAAAAAGTGCCAAGCGTAAATCATTCAACGGTGATTCAGTCTCCA